ACGAGGTGTAATCAAAAGTAAAGTGAGTTAGATTGTCTGTTCTGGCGTAGTACATTGCGGTCAGTGTATGCTTTTATTTTGGGATTATTCCCGGAGTCGTCGCACCATGGTTGGTGCGGGCTAGTGACATTGCGGTCAGTGTGCTAGTAATGGCTTTTTATATATCGATCGATGTTTAGGCATTGCGGTCAGTGCCTACAGAATTGAGAATATAGGTTTTTGTCAATTATGGAAAATTTAAAGTTGTGTCAATTATATTTTTTTTTATAAGCAATATTTTGACATATTTATCATGTATAATTTTCTTGTTTATTAAAAGGATAATAAGTATTTTATTTATGGATATCACCTTTTCATGACTTTCTTTAATGTAAAGCTGCTTTTGGTAAACTTGATTGCTCATACTTGTTTTTCTTTTATTTCAGGTACGCCATCTCATAAGTGCATTAATTACATCTCATACGTGCATTAAGTATTTTATCTATTTTATTTTACTATTATTTTATTTACGTTTTATTGTTTTTTTTTCTCATTTAATACTTATTTCTAAATTATTTTATTTTGTTCTATATTTTATATTTCAATTTAAAGTTATTAAATCGTTTATTGAATTAATTTCTAGTTTTACTGACATAGATTAAATAACTAAATATTACCGCCCAAGTTTATAATAGATATTGTTAAATTACAAATATCATCCTATAATCGTAAAATAGCTATAAACAGTCCCCGGATGGACTGTAAAAAGAGGAAAAACTTTTTAATTTTAACCTTTTTTAAAAAAAAGTATTTTTTTGTTTCAAAATTACCAATAATTTAGACTGAAGTTCATGGGCGTCGTTACACAATTCTATAGGGAGGGGCAAAATTTTTAAAAAATTTAGAATGTTTATTTGTTGAAAAACAAAGAAAATGACAGATAAAAGAGCAATACAAATTGACAAAAGTTTCTAATAAATAAAATAACCCAACAAAAAAAGACAAAAACTAAAACACATATTTTTAAAAAACAAACAAAAGTTGTGATATAGAAGAAAAATATGAGAAAAATACATAAAAATAATAAAAAAAAATATTTATAGAAACATAAAAACTCACTCAAACACGTCGACGAAAAAAAAGTAAACGCAAATTTTTAATTTCTTCTTCCTCTACTAAAAATAATCGATAACAGAAAACATGATTTCTTTTTAGTTTTTTACAATTATTTTTCGATGTGCGCTCATTATTCAAAGCCCAGTCAGCCTATTTTCATTGATTATTCGCTCTGTGCGTGATAGCAGCGCTAACTAATTTATAAACTAACGGACGATATTTGCGTATACTGGCAAAACAATTTTTAACAGTATTCGTAATTAAAAAATATACATGTTAATTTTAATAAAAGTATATGGATTTGTAAAACAAGTGAAAAAATTAATTATTGTTATATATTTTTATTACTTCAGCTAAAAAAAGTAGTATAATCAATAAAAACCAATAATAAAACATAGACAGGCAACACTATTTACAAGAAAATGTATGATATGTTGCCTAAGCTTAATAAGTTGTCATTGAAAAATAGGTTAAATAATGTAAAAATAGAAACATTACCATTATATAATAACGTAGTATCAAACCGTATTAACAAAAATAATTGGTATATTTGCGATTGTAATTTATATTTTCTTAATTTTTAGTTCGAAAGAACCCATAGAAATTAATTATTAAAATTGGTTTCCTATCAATAAGTCACAAGATTGCATTTCAGACACATACAATAATCAAAGGCGGAAATCTAATCCTTGCTGAACATTTAAGAGTTAAGGGATTACATTGTAAAATAATCATTTATTGTTTATCTTATACCTTTCAATTTTTTGATGTCAACTATTTCCAGTATTACTGTTATTACAAAAATAAAGGTCTTTTTCTTCTTATTGTACTATCCATTTATTTTTTTGATTTAATTTCCATTTTGCTACTGACAATTTATATAATTTACACCGTTTTTTCTGCTAGTATTTTTACAATTTACAACACAGCAACTACGCTTGCTTTTTGTTCTGTTTTTACCTACTTTAAAAAAAAATTAAAATGTATACAGGTTCGTGTAAGACAGTATTTCTCAGAGTGTGCTGTGAGTAAGTTCGTCACAAAAGGGAGGACACCTGGTTTAAGAATTTTTTTTTAGATTTCAGTAAGAAAGGATCTGATTTTACTTGAGGACCTTTCTTTATAAATGCTCCGGAGTTCTAAACCAAAAAAATCTATTTTAGGGTTCCGTCACACATTTCGCTTTTCAAAAGGATTCCGCCAAAAAAGTTTGTGAAACACTGGTGTAAGATATGGATATGGAATAAATATATTCAATCTATTATATTCGTCAACTGTGTTAGCCTGAATATTATTTCTATGAGATTGTTTTCCGTAATTCGTGGCATTTAGGTATTAATTTCACGTAATAATACGTCAATTCGCATGCGCTTATACTTAATTTAGTACTAAAAATTGGTATCGTTACAAAAGGAAAAAAATATTTTTAGTTCTAAATTTAGTACTAAATAACTTAATTTAGGGCTAAATTTTAGTACTTAATTTAGTATCGTGACATGCAGCCATAATATTAGGTGTTATTTCTATAATAATGTTGTCTAAAATCTTTAGTTTTGCATATATTCATGAATTGCTAGAAAAATAATTCTCTTAGCTTTTTATCACCTGCTGTTTAATGAATTAGTATATTATTTCTAAATTAATTGCATTTATATATTCTTGTACTCTTACTCTGTAATTGGGTCTTGACCTGTTGAGTAATGTAATAATAAATAAATAAATTACGCGTTGCAAAATCGTAAAAGCCAGGGGGGTGCAACTGCCCCCCCCCCCTTGCCCCCCCCCTAAACGACGCCCATGCTGAAGTTGTATATCTCTTCGCGTTAGTGAAATAATGACAAAAATGTAGAAAATTATATTTCACTAAAACGAAGACTTTCGTTTAAATTATTACCTATTATCTTTTTTGTACCAAGCAGAAACTTTTATGAATAATAACATTTTACTAATTTATTATAATTATTATTTTCGCTTAATTTAATTTAGGTGATGACACAAAAATTTCGCGGTAATTGTTGTCCATTTGTTTATCAGAAAGAGTATATAAATATTTACCTTTTAATAATATGTTTATTTATTTCAAATAATATAGTATCTCGACTGTTAATGGCCATTGACACTATTTTGATTAATATATTTTTGTGTTTTTTTTGCCCCTTTAAGTCGTTATTAGAAGTATTGAAGCCTAGAATTAGCTGTATAAAATGTTTCCCTTTCAAGCTATTTAAAATTGCTTAATTTGCTCGATTTGATCATATACATGCAATATTTTTCATTGCAAATATTGGCAGCACTGTATTGCAACTGACATTATTTTCCATTTTATAAAATTTAAAAATTACTATGCAGCATATGGAAAACTTTTTTATAAATAATTTTGGGATATTCTTAATGAAGAGGTCTTAAAACTCAAAATTCAATCATTTGATCCCAAATTTTATGAGTCGTAAGTATATGAGGTTAGTAAAAAATAAATATTTTTTGACGCACCTCGTAAACGGCTTAAAAAATCTGATATCTTAATGTTGTATTTCATGTTTTATGAGGTTTTAGACCATGCACAATTTTTTATAAAAAATACATTTTCACCTTCATGATGTGGTTTCGACTTTAATAATTATTATAAATTAAAAGAACCAAAAAAGGTTGACAGCTGTGTGCACGTAGTTTAGATTCAAAAAGGAAAAACTTGTATTTCGTGCAAAACTTTTTTATTAATCAATGCAAAGCGCAAAGCTTGTCACCACTGTCATGTGGAAACGGTTAAACAACTTGAACCAAAATGAAGAGATAAATTTAAATTTGAAAATATTAATATTAATAAAATTATGATTTAGCAAGTTGTAAATATCCCGAAATATATAATTTTGGGAGTGAGGATGACCAGGAACTTGTTGGATACGTTGTGGACAATGAGCACTGATTATGGCAAATAAGCCGAAAGCGCTTTGCATTGATTAATAAAAAAGTTTTGCACGAAATACAAGTTTTTCCTTTTTGAATTATTATAAACTTTGTTTAAAAAATTATTGTAACTACACTAAATGATGAAAATATTTGATTTTTTGAAACATATGTTGTACTTTTAAATGAAAACTTTTATGTGACCGATATTACCTAGGAATTCTTATTTATTCAAAAACAATTCTACTACGTTAATCTTTGTTTCTTTATTACTAATAGTAATAGATACTCTTCCTATAACTAACACCTAAATCAGAGCTTATACCGTGGAAGAACGGCTATTACTATTGTTATTATTTGCCGTGGCGCTTTGGTGTGACCCATAGATTGTTGATGGCAGATTTTTCCTTTTGATAAGGAGATCCTCGTCATATTAATAACAAATAATAAGTACTTGCAAGTTATAAAATTAATTATAAAAAAACCTTTCTAAAAATTAATAGTTTGACTTTTTTACTATGAAATTATCACACAGTTTGGACCAAATTTATATGGAACTTTCCCAGCAAAATAGTATAAGTTATAAAATTAATTTAAAAAAATCCAATTCCCTCTGATGTACCCCAATCCTAACATAAAAAAAGAATCATAGAAATTGAGTAATCTGCTAAATAATTATCGCTGAACATACATAAAAAAAATGTTAAAAATTAAGAAAAATATTGAAATTACAAAATATTTTGTTAATAAATGTTATATTAAAAATATTTATCTTATCGTCTCATTATTTATTTAAATATTTAATTTTTTAAATTAACTTTTAAAGCGGAGAATATCACAATTTATCATCTACTTGGTATGTCGACATATGCTGCATGGTCTCTGCTTTTTAGAACTATCCTTTATATTAACCACCCAGTGGTATAACAATTTTAAACAACACACATTAATCAAGGTAATAACATGGTAACACTGTTATATAAATATAAAAATGTACTTACTTTTGGTAAATTTTGTGGTGGCTGTAGATGCATCCCACCTCCAATGGGTATCGTATTTAAATTCATTGGTCTCATATTATGAAACAATGGATTTGTACCAGTAAACATCAAACTAATATTATTTTGTAATTCATTAAAAGAAGGCAAATCATCCCCAAAGTATCTCCTCATATGTTCATGGTGACTTGGAAATGTCATAGTATAAATTACATACTTATACGCATAAGTATAAATGAAACTTCTTATTCTATCTGTGAAACTCAAATTCTCGCTATCTTCAATGTCTAAATTGGGATCTGGATTAATCACAGGATGAACTAAATTTCCAAGAGAATCGTGGTACTGCATTGCCGGATCCAAAGAGGCGATTGCTATTAGAGGGCATTTGAACCTCCAAGCAAAAGCCATCATGGAAGGCATGTGGGCTTCACACAAAATTACATCGAAATTATTCTTTTTATTTAGAATCAAGTCTTGCACTTCCGGTACATTTAACATGTAATCGTGAGCTTCAAAAAATAGTTTTTGTAGAACAGAAGCAATATCTGCGTAACTGTTATTTTCGTCACTTATCACATTCGAAATATCGTACTTATCATAGATTTTGTAAGTATAACTTATATCGATTTCTATCAAATTGTAGTTGGATAAGTTCCTTTGTGGATCAGTAGTAATTACAGTAACTTGATGACCTCTTTGTGCCAGTTCTTTCCATAACGGTCGAAAAGGTAAGTGGTGGCTTACGGACGCTGTTGTAATTATTCCCAAAATATTTGCTGCATTTATCGATGACACTTGCAATGTTACAAACACTAAAAGTAAAGGCAACATATTTACTTTTAAGACTAAACGAAATCTTTTTTTTTATTTCCTTAAATACTTTCAGGCTAATCTCGTAGCGATAGTAAATGGGAAGAAATTAACAATAACAATTAATATTATCTCGTTATTATAAAAGATTGGTAAAGATTTGATAACAAACACGCGTATTATCTGATTACTAGGTAGGTGGTTAATTTTGTTTTCGGAATTTTTTTGATGAAAGATGAAGTGGTTGGTAATTTTTAAAAAAAAATCTTTTTAAATTAAATTAATATATTATGGTACATTCTTAACACAAAAGTGGATGAAATACAGTATGAAAAATTGGTTACCAATAATTAACTTGTTTACAAAAGTAAAGCGATAATTTTAATAGTTTTAATAATAATTCTGCGAAAAATGTCACACTCCGAAAAAAACAGCCTAGTAAATATAATTAAAATTTTTTTACATATTTTTTTTTAGTTTCCTTTTAATAATTCAGGATGTAAATATACAGTATATTACTTATTTTACATAGTCTTTCTTATCGATTGCAATTATTTTCGCTTCATTCCAGGATACTCCTCGTTTGTTCTGTTATTCTGCTACTGTACCATCCGACGGTTCATAGACAATACGGTGATCTCGTCCAGTTGCAATGGAGGGGAGATGTGATGTCACAAAATTAAAATCGAGTGAAAAAAAAAATATTCTGCTGCGTTTCGTACATTAGTTATTTAAAAATTGTATTAATAGTTGGTGGTGTTCACATTTTTTTTTGACTATTTTCCAATGTTTATAATATTGGTAGTTTGATTTTTTAAAAGATTTGAAAGATAATGATTATTTCAAATTAATTATTTTTTATTTGAATTATAAAGAGACATATTATTGTGTGATTGGTTTATTTAAAACATTTTGGTTTAGGGTACAGGCTCCAAACCGAACTCGCATCACATTTTATTTATACCCTGATATAATTTGAAATTTAAGAATGCCGAAAGCAAGATGTAATGGTGCTGTTTATAAACACAATGTTTTCAAACAAAAATCATCAGAGGAATGGGACTGAATCTAAACTGAAATTAAGGGCTAAATGTGAGTGTTGGATCATTCAACATATTAAAACATAGACCAACAATATTTATTAAAATATATTCAACAATACTAATTCTTAAACAATAATAACCCCCTCAACAGTCCCTGTAATTTGTACTATCTCTACCGGTAAGGAAGTTTTCTAATAGATAAATACCTCACACGTGTCAGGCACTACTCATTGGTTAAAGTGGATTACATCAGAGCTTTATCAACTCTCACGAAACCCACATTGTTTTATTGTTACTGGTTTATGCAATCAGTTGGGCGTTACGCCGCCATGTTTGATTTCTTAAAAATAAATATAGTTTAAAAAACTATTAAACACGCTTTTATAATACATCGAACTAAAAAGTAAAAAATAAATATAGTTTAAAAAAAACTAAAAAACACGCTTTTAAAGCATATCAAACTAAAAATTTAAAAATATTTTTATTAACACGCTTTTATTCAAATATTCTAAAAACAATAATAAATGGAAAATACTAGTTTTATTGTGAAAAGAGCGTCAGGCGCTCGATGTACGAGAAATATGGACAAAGCGTCCCACGCTTTTTTCACAATAATACTAGTATTTTTCATTTATTATTGTTTTAAGCTTATTTGAATTAAAGCGTTTAAAAAAAATATTTTTAATTTTTTAGTTTGATATGCTTTAAAAGCGTGTTTTTTAGTTTTTTTACCTATATTTATTTTTTACTTTTTAGTTCTATTAATTATTAAAAATAAAAATTATAAGTTGAAATTGCTAAAAAAATAATTTTTTTTTCAGCCGTGGGGATTAGAACCCACGATCGATGAGTCTGGCAATCGATAACCCGCGCTTTAGACCTCTAAGCCAACAAAGGAACGTGGGATATACTGACAGTAATAAGCCACTTGAGTCCAAAGGAGAGTTGCAAACATACATACAGGTGAAGTTAATATAAGCGTGTTAAAAAACAGAAATAAAGGCCAGTGTGAGATAAATATATACAGTCAGTGTTTTTTATAAAGACATTACAACTAAGAGACCAAATTGTTTACATTTTTATGTGGCAAACCATTATTCCAACCAGATTCTCGTTTATTGCGTCTTTGCCGGTTTCATCAGTCTATAAAAATTATTTGGAGAAATTACTTTCGAAAAATAAAATTTTACGTATCCTATAACTATAACTGTAATTTTATATTATGTAAATAAAAATATGTTGGGTTGCAAAGAATTTCGAAACTACGGCAACGCTGAATATCTTATTTTACGAATTTAAAACTAGTACCTATTTTTATGAATGAAATGTAGTTACCGTAACCAGCCGCATCGGGTCTAACAGATATTTTGTGTTTCTTACAGTTTCTGACAGTTTATATGTGACTTATTGATTTATTCATTTATAAAATACTATTTTTGGGAACTTTTGTGTAGTGCATGTGTAGTGTAAATCATGTAAATCGAAATTTATCCTTTCATCGGTAAGTATTTTTAGGTTAAGATATTTTATTTTTATTTGTCTTAAGACTGTTTTGACTATACAAATTGTATAGGATCACATAGAAAATTGTTTGAAAAATTATTATCCAATCTAATTTTTCAGATAATTTACTGCAGGTTTGATAATATACAATTTAAATTGTACTAGAAATTGTATCACAAACTTGTGTAGTCTAAAACAGTCTTAAAACAGTTTTTAAAGTGATATTCCTTTTATAAATTAGTAAATTATTCTTATACCAATAAATAATTATTGAATAGTGGCAGAGAAAATTTAACGTAAAATGTAGAATACCTTAAAAATGAGTTACCTATTAGGCATCTATACATATTTTTTAATATTCTATTTAGGTTTCCGCAAGATCCTGAGAAAAGAAAACTTTGGTTTTCAGAACACTTTTTTTCTGAAGATGTTTTGGTACGTGCAAATGGTGCTAAATATATCAGAAAAGATGCAAACCCCAGAAGGTGTGGGGGCTTTCTATTTTTGGATGACTTATCCAACAGGTAAAAATACAAAATATTAATTTTTTGTTTTCCTCTAAAGTAATAACACTAATAACTAAGCATAAAAAAATTAAATGAAATTTTAGTTATAGATTTAAAACGTTATTTTAAAAAATTTTTTAGTTTTTTTACGTTATTTTGTGCCATACCATGTTTTTTTTTGTAATTATTCATTAAAAAATTATATATTTTTAGGACAGTGTTTTATTTAGGCACCCCTACCTACTTAATGTTAATTTAAAATTTTAAATACTTTTGTTTAACATCATACCAGGCAAATATATAGTAAATGCCAATAAACTATAAACCAATAAATATTAAAAATCGGAAGGTAACTTGAATTCTCTTGTATTTGAATTTACTTGTACTTGAATTTACCTACATGAAAAAATCATCATTATTATATTACTAAAAAAATATACCTACTTATTTACGTATTTTTTTAACGTACTACTCTGACAATAATGGTAAGTTTAAAACTCTACGCCACTGGCAAGCATAGTATGGACACTGTTTGCAACGTTGCCAGCCGGTCCTAAGAGATCTGTCTTTCTCTCTTTATGAATGAAACATTTTGTCTCTATGTTGTAATGTCTTTGGTTTTTTATTACAAGTTTGAAATGTAAACCAGTTTGGTTAACCCTTTGAAACCTAACTTTTCATTTCTGCACCAAAAAAATGTTGAACGTCAAGTTAAAGTTACGGGACCATTAAAAAGTATTACAAACAAAAAATATAAAGTAGTTTCCTTTTGAAGATAGGGAAATGTGCACAAGTGTGCATATCAAGTCTCAAGTATTGCAAACTAATTTATTTTAAAGATTAGTTTCTCATATTTATTAGCAAAAATAAACACATATAACGTGAGCGTTAACAGATAAACCTAACAAATTAACAAAATGATAATAGAAATATTATTTTAAGTGAAAAGCTATAAAACAGTTCTTATCTTTGAATAACCATAAATGAATATCGCAGTTTTGGCATTTTATCCTTGATTTTAATGTGCATTAGAGAAATTTATATCTACTTTGCATCATTATGAATGGGGAGAATCTCTTAGTTTAACGAGTTTTCCCACGACGTCTCTGAATAACAGGTTGACATGGTGAAGCCGAGGTAGAAGGACGGTCTTTGTCAGTTTACCTGAACTCGGTCCTGGCTAATCATTCATATTTACGACATGAACAAACAGAACATAAAACATAAATATATTCCGTTGGGTTACTGCAAAGACAAGATAACTCACATTGTTAGAGTTTCGAGTTAGAAAATGCTGTTTAAAAGGTTAAAATTGAATAGAAAATCAGTAAATGTTTTAAACTGTTTAATAAACAATAGCTCCAATAAAAACAGTATTCAAAACATAAATAATCTTCACAAAATATAAACTAAGAATCCATCGAATAAGCTCTTATGAATTATATACTATTCCTACATCACACCTACTGAGACTCGTTGTGCACAATTGTACAAATTAAGTTCAATCGCGTGCCAAACTTCTAAGGTTTACAAAACAGTTACTAGTGAAGTATTACACATCAAGTTAGTTTACCACAGTCGATTAGAGCTATAAATTAAACAAACATTACTCTATAAATAAAGGCAAACGACTCAAAAATTGGCGCCCAGTAATGTCACTTTCCATATCCGAGATGGCGAATGTCATGCAGTTTATTGATCATCTATATGCAATGTGTTCCTAAACATGTCATAATTAAAGGAGGTAATTCATTGGCTCATATTATGACTTAAAGTTCATACAAACATGTGTCCTAAATTGCTTTGTTTCGAAGATACGTCCAAATTTTTAAAAATAATTAGTTTTTCATCAATATCATAAATACTCTTTGGCCGATTTTGATAAAATTTGGTACATTATTCAATCTGATTCCATAGAAACGCTATAATTTGTTTGCATGGCCCACTTGACATTTTGATTTTAAGATTTTG